ACATGCATGTGTAAAATGTGCAAACCAATGCTAAACTAATACCTTGCTTTTAGACTTACTACACAAATGTGCCATTCAACTAGTGTATTAATGATACCTCAAGAAAATGCAGTGTTATTTACATTTTATCATTCAAAAATATGCCTCCTTGGAATATCAATAACAGGATTTATTTAAAGAAATCACTCTTGGAAAATGGCATCTTTTTTCAAGCAATGTAAGCCCCTTGACTCACAAAAGTGATGATGACACACAATATTTTATGTTCATTGTAGAATATACCTACAAATTGTACTCGAGCTGATCCATTACAATACATGAGAAAGATTTCTTGAAGAAATCAATCTGTTTGACTATTATTAGGGATTCAAATCAACCTATAGACAAAAACTCCCAAAGGAAGCATCATATTTGAATAGCAACTTGATTCTGTAATGAAGTAGAGACACTTGTCATTACAGATCATGACAAAACTTAGAAAAATTAGCATAGAGACTATCTGTATTTTAATTGCCAAGCTGTTTTGTCCCAAAAAGTTTAAGGGAACTGTGAGTCATAAGTGATTTTCAACTTTTAAGGGTTATTGGCACCTGCCAACAGTTCCAAATACAGATATATATCTTGGGAATCATCAGAAGAAACCTTACATCGTTTGGCACTTTCTTTGTAAGCTCTCATTTCAAATATAAGGACCCTAAAATACAAGCCTTGAATATAAGATAGTGTTGTAATTCCTTTTTAGTCATATAATGAGAGAATTCATATTATTTTGGCTCCTACAGGTTAATCCTGCAAGACTATGACATTAGTGTATTCTTTAAAGTATTCAATGACATTATTACTAGTGTCCACCTGTAGACACATTTAAGGACCACATTTTTTTCCCCCTAATCTCTCAAGGCCCCAGTCACACATAGTCTAAAATAATCAGACTATATATCAGGGGTATCCAATGTCATACTACTGCTTTCGATTAATTACAAGTGCATTTTATAAAATGTAGCCTGTAGCCAATAGATGGTTAGAAAGCAATAAAAGCTAGCTAAAGTTGAACATAGATGCATGTGCGTGCGCGCGCGCGCACACACACGCACACACACACACACACGCACACACGCGCACACACACACACACACACACACAGTAAATATGGCACATCAAAACATGTGTACCAAGGTTGAAACATGGTATCAGGGAAGGTGATCTGAAGTCACCCTAGTCCTGAAATGATTTGTCATTTATTTTGTTTTTTTCTTAATTGGCAACAACTCTTCACTGTTGTCTCATTCCCAAGTTCAATGTTGGACTTTCGAAAGGATGGAACTACAGCAGAAGGCTTCAGTACTTAGAGTGGAGACAAAAGGACCAGGACAGTAAACTCAGGCTGATAAATGATTACTACAGGACAAGCTGAAAAATCCAGTCCAGGTCTTTTGCATATGTTTGACACTGGCTGCCTCTGAGATGAAAAATATGACTCTGTCCCTACAAAGTTAAAGTGAAAAATTGGTTTTTTGTTTTTTGTTTTTAGCTTCAGAAGGCTTTCATACATTTACTCCAAAAGCTAAATCAAGCATACTGTGAGAAGGACAATTGACTTCAATTGATAGCTGGCCTGAAAAAAAAAACAAAAAACAAGCAAATCAAACCATTCAAAAATAGGGTTTGTCATGGAAACAGTATGCTAATAGGACAATATCCCCAGTAGTTTTTTTGGTTTTCTAGGCAAGTTCTATTTTGCTACCAGTGTTGAAAGAAACAAAAGAATACACTGGTTTTCTATATGCTACATAAAGCCTGATGACTTAAAAATGTCTTCTAAAGCTATTTAAACCAACATTTGAAATCTTTTTGCATCAAATTTATAGTTACATTATTTTAAAGACACCCACAATAAGACTGCTTTAATTTTTTTTATAGAAACTACTTATCTTAAAAACACGTTTTCCCCAGAAATAGCTAATTGAACTAGCTAGTGATGAGATATGATTTGATTTGGCCTGAGAATTACTATTTTTATATGTCTATACAATAAAACCTTCTCAGATATCTACTATATTGTTAATATAACAATGGAAAAAGGAATATAAAATTGCATCTTGTGACTTAAAATCGAATGCTACATTTTCAGTAAGATTTAATTTTTTTCACTTGCCTTAAAATGAACAATGATAATGACTTATAAGACAATTGTCTTATAACCATGAAAGTAACTTTGTTGTATCAGTGATCTTCATTTTAGTCTCTTTTCATTTTATCATAAAATGTTTTCAGGGGAAAATTTAGTAGACATATTTTAAACTGTAAAGGTATATGAGGTTTTCCATCTAGCATTTTGTTTTTCATAAACATATTTCCATATTATGAAATGTACATCTGTTTTATAAAAATTAATGCATCTGTTTTATAAAACTTAATGTGTATGTCTATGTGTATACTTATTTTTATATACACATATACACACACATATATACATTCTGATTAAGAGTAGCTCAACTAAATAATTTATCTGGAGAAGGTTCCTTGAACGCTAAAAAATGGGGTCTTCAGAAGCAAACAAAAAAACAGCCTTATAAAACCAACTGCTGTTTAAAATGCTTATAAAGTCAGTTAACCATTTATTGATTGCCCGTTTATGGTTTTGTAATATCCAAGATTATGGAAGAGAAAAAACAATACCTCTAAAAACTGTGACAGAGCTAATGAATTAAAAATAAACTTCCATATTATAAAAAGTCACATAAATTATATCCCTTGAAGGAAAAAAGCTTTAATATGAAAATTAGAGTTCTCTTTTAATCCCCTTTGAGTAAAGAAATAATTTGCAAACTTCTATTTTCGACCATCATGAAAACAGGTCTTTTCTTGGGACTTCACAAATGTCAATCACAACAATGCAAATAGAGCAATTCTTTGGAAGGACTGATCTGAAGCTTTACTGGTAGACTTTTTCATTGAATTCCTGAATTTTTATACTGAGAATGGCTGTGAGACACTACAAAACGATCAAGATAGTTCAGACAGTTCAAGTTCTATTATTTTCAGGCACAAAAACCATATAATTTTGTACAAAACTTTGATTTTTTTATTTGTGAAATTAAAAATATGGTATTATATATATATAAACTTCTATTCCTCTATAAATATAGATGATTTGTGATAGTGAACAGAATAAATGCATACCAAATTTAAAGACCAATGTCATTTTAGGGTATGACAGACATAGATAAATTTAGGTCCTAAGTATTGGCATTTTAATAAACTCTTAAAAGTTTAAAACAATACAATCAGAAGGATTGCTTTTCTCCTCTTCTTCAACAGAGACTAAAGTGAATATTTTTAAATGGCTTTGAAAGGTTTACGTTTGACACATTTCTGTAAATAAAAAAGAAAGGTGTAATGCAGGAGACCTGTACACCTCTTCCCTTTAGCATGCATGCCCGTATCTTATCTCAGGAGCTAACCCTGTCAATTATTTCACCTTCTTAACCTCACGAAATCTTACTTGGTTGTTATTAGTGGTGTGGATTGTTCCTCCCTCAGAATGCGTCGCTGAATAACGATAAAATGTTGAGAGGGTATATGACTTTTATATGTTTCAAAGTTTCTAATATATGTCTAATTATTATTTGATTGCAAATAAGAAAATATCACTTCACTTTGAGGAAATCCATTACACTGAAATGTCCTTTAGGTTTTCCATTCTGCTTGTTTTACTATCCAGTTAAGGAAAGCAAAGATCAACTCCTTAGCAAGGCTTTCCAGGTGACCTCAACGTTTCCATTTCACACAGGGGTAAAACCTAAACTCGGCTGTCTCGTTCCTAAAGGCAGGTTGCCAGGCATCAGTATGCAATTAGAATTACCATTTTATAACCTCTATCTTCAGTCTCTCCAAACCACACAAGGCTTCACGCCTCTTCCCAAATCTCAGTAAACCACATCTTTCCATGACGCTTGGCCAAACCCAAACCACGTTTCAAACGCTGGAGAATGAAATGACCTCATCCGCCAAAAATTAGGCTTCCAAAAGTTTGGCACCGGTTATCCCACTCACCTTCTAAGCAACTTAGGGGGAAGCAGGCAGTGTCTGGGCCTCTGGGTCGTGCGTGGAGAGAGGCTGGGACAGCCAGCGCCCACACCCGTGGGCCCCCAGGAAGTTGGGGGAAAGTTCTCGACAGTTAAAATGCAGTTTCGGGCAGCCAAAGGAGTCGGGCCTTCGAAATCTGCCGCAGGACAAGGGAGGAACGAGGGATGCTTGGTGTTCTGTACCGTAAGGGCCCCCACTCCGGGCAAGCAAAGGGAGGGGGCGCGGGAGGCGGCGGTCGCGATCGGGGCCACCGTGGGGCCCCAGCAGCGCCTCGGGGCCTGAGCTTCCCGGCCGCCGCAGGCAGGTCAGCGCGCCGGGGGCGGGAGGAGCGCGACGACCCGCTGGGCTGCCCGGCGGCCGGCGCGGGTTTCGCCTCCTCCGCAGGAAGGAAAAGCCTCGAATGGTTAAAAATCACAAACAACAACCAAACCACAAAAAACCCGCCCTAAATAATTAAACCTGTTTTAAAGAGAAAAAGAAGAACGCGTGGTGATCGGTCATTTAAATACAAATATACTTACAAAAATCTTACACAGGCTATTTACAATCATAAAAGCGTCCAGTCCTGGTACCAGAGCGCGAGGGCGAGGGAGCGGTCCGGCCCATCGGCCCCGGCGTCCGCATGCCCCGGGGACGCGA